TATATATATATATATTAGTGTTGCACCGATACCAGTATCGGACGGGGCCCTGATACTGCCCTAAAATGGTGGTATCGGTATCGGCGAGTACCAACAAATAGTGCACCGATACCATTTTGAGAACCATAAGTTTATTCAACCATTGTCACCCACTCCTGGTAGGCAATAAAAAGTTTTACTGGATTCACTTTGTATTAGATTTTTCCTGCTTCACAAAGGTAGGCAGCAGCTTGACAAAGCCATGATGGCAACTATTTTATCGGGGCCAAAAAATGGCATCGGCGCAACACTAATATATATATATATATATATATATGCTGGAGCAATATATATATAAATATGTTATTTTCTACTTTAATCTCCAGTAAATCAAATATTTAAAAGCTCTAGCATCTTCATCAGTAGGAGCTGTTTCGAGCCGTGTCGTCAGGAATGCTGGGTCCCTTCTGATTACATCAACTGCAGCCAGCACACACATACCCTCCCTACAGCTCTGCTCTGCATGCACACACATGATGGGTTTTATTAACACCCACTGCTGTAAACAACAATGACGGTTGCTCGTCACTCAGGTATCACTCCTTCATTGTGCAGCGCTAAATTAACAAGGTATTATTTTGAGAGGCGAGGTTGGTTTGATAGAATTAATCACTGGGAGATTGCTGCTGCTGATTTGATTAATCTGGCGCTGTTTCCTCGGGGAAGAGGGGGCGCATTCAGCAGGATAACAGAATTAAAGGAACAACGCTTTGAACTTCAGAGGTTAACATGGAAGGTCAGAGAAATCTTATCAACAAAAGTGCTCTGAACTTACCTACAGGTAAACAGAGTTCGGGCCCAGGGCGCTAACCCCAAAAATCCTGAACACCTTTGTATTGTAATTATATTTTGATTACAAAAGGCATTACATTATTGCATAAAAGCCATCTGTTCAGTGATGAATGAACCATGGGAATCTCTTGGGCTCACACTCTATTGAAAAATATTCAAATTTACCTTATACCATTACACAAACACTTTAAAATTAAATGTAACCTTTTGATGGGTTACTAGGCTGCGGGTGCAACAAGTTATGAACCATGGTAGTTTGTCTTCCTGTGGATAGTTATGTTTACAAGTCTCTTGTTTGCAGACAAGTTTATTATTTTCTTTCCAAATTATGTATCTATGTGTAACTTTAGATTCAGCTTTAGATTCCCACTTTTTTTTCACAATTGCTTTGTGAGACATCTTTGTTAGCTTAATATTTCTGACACATAATCACAGATATATATTTTTTTATAATGGAATAATCTATAGTAGAATTTTTTCTGCCAACTGCATAGCAAAGGATTAGTCTATACATTTCTCATCCCTCTAACATAATTCAGTATCTATTGCTGACCAACTGCAAAATCTGCTTCAATTTTCTGCAAAATAACTTTAAATACTAATTTGTAGAAGCAACATTTTTCTGCTAATGAGTCACAAGAAGTAACTGGATAAATGTTTTGAATGTGGCTTTATATTGACCCTTGATCTGGAGCTACGTAAAGCCTTATTGGTCAATCAACCAATACAGCTGATGGGGCTGATTAATAAAACCAGCAGACCATATAAGGCCTTTTGCCATTATTACTGTACCAACTCTGCATGTTGGAATGGAAATACCATCTCATTAGTATGTAAGTTTATGTGGAACTGTTTTTATTTTTAGTCCATGCTTGGATGTGATTCAAACCGTACTGAGTAGGTCTGAAAATGGGTATTACAAGCTGCTGATTTGGAAGAGACTGGAGTCACAAGTTACACAGAAATATTACCCAGCATTTAAAGGTATAGTGGAAAATGTTTGTGATTTTTTGAAAAGTACTGCCCTCTCCACAAAAAAAAATGCACATACACAACCCTGTACGTGTGCGAGAGCATGCACAAGCCCATTTATGCTCATGCACGCTCTGTTTAAAAGTTGCTCTTTGCATCGCTCATAGAAGCTTACTTTCCAAACGATTTGAAGTTTTTCCACTATGTCAGGTTCACCACCAGTAAGTGAAAATGGGAACAGGACGGCTTTACGTAAACATATCCCCAGAATGATTGACAATTAGGAGGACCACTTATTTTGATGATGCACCGGGAAAAAGAACATTTTCCACTATACCTTTAAGTTATAATTTCCTAAAAAGCTGTATGCTGGGCTTATAGTGTATATGACAGGTATAGCAAGCTGGCATTGGGTAGTAGGCTATTAGCTTATCCTCACAGCTCCTATCCTTAGGTTTGATGGCATGCTTTTATTTCCTGTATATTTCCAGAGCTATATCTCACTGCCTTGAGCCTTATCAGGCTCTTCTCTTTTACAATGAGTCTGACTAAAAGTTATGCAAGGGTCCCTAATCGCTGCCTTGGGTTTGTTTCAAATATGGGCAGCTGGACAGATTTGTCATGTTAATCAATAAAATGAGAAAACCACCAATGGAAATTAGAGCTAAGGAAAACCCAAACTGAGAATACCCTTTAGTGTGGGTCGTTTTAAACAGCCAAAAAAGGTGGTACAGCCTGACTTTCCTTTAAAAGTATAAACACTTTTAAAGCTCATGGTTTTAAGATATCTTTATAGGACATGTAATGAAGCTGTTACCAATAACTTAACAGAACCTATTTTAAACAAAGAAAACAAGATCTTTTGCATTGATCTGACTATATTAGCTACAATTTGGATTTTGCTCAATTGTTACTCATACTGTAACTGTGTTTTTATCCAAGGTTGAATCTTTGTCATAAACTTGCCTTTAACTCACACAGTGGAAAAGGTTTCTGATTTGCATCCTTCCATTTATGAGGCTTATTGTTCCTTAATCTATCTTCACCTTTTTTTCTTTTTTTTTTTGTATCTTAAAGAGGTTGCAAAGGACAGATCTGAGCGAGAGCCTGAGGATAATATGCCTAACTGAATCTAAGTTCATCTGCTTAGAATTCTGAACTATCAAAGTTCAATTGAAGCCGGGTGTTGCAGGCCTCAAGCTGAATCGAGAGTCTGTCAATGCCATAAGAGGAAAACAGCTGACTTCTGCTCTAGGAATTCATCATATTTCTGGAATGGAAATGACACAGTCCATTTATGATCTCTATCTCATTAAGTCCAATCTAAATTGTCCTAACGGGCAACTACATTTCCAATGTAGGCATTGATTTACACTTAACCCTCATGTACCATTCATTCGTTTTTATAAACTAAAACCAGCAATACAAAGTGCGCTTTATCCCTGCTGGGGTCGCGAGGAGTGCTGGTGCCTCTCTCCAGCTGTCTACGGGCGAGTGGCGGGGTTCACCCTGGACAGGGTGGGTGAGAAAAAACTTTTTAGAATTTGAATAAATAAGATACATTTAATGCGAGAGATTTTACTCTTTAAATTTATAATGTCCCCCACTAAATAAACTGTGATTATGTCAGATATTTGAGTTTTGTGAAACCTTTTTCTAAACCAGTTATAGGGGATTATTAAACTTATCAACACTGATAAACTCCTGTCCTTCATATACCATCAAGTAAGGAGGATATATCTTCTTCAAAAACACAGTGTACATATATATTTTATTTGGCAGGGCTTGAAAGTTGAGTTTTGCACAGCTTAAGACTCAGAAATAATTATTCATACCCTCTTGTTGTTCTTCGGTCTTGATCATCTGGGGCTCTTTT